CCTCTCTCTCCTGTAAGGCATGTCACTCTACTTCAGGCCACTGAGATAATCTGGGATAAATACCTTTTTTCAAGCTCTTTAATTACATCTTCTGCTATAGAAGGTAATATTCATAGGCCTCAGGGCCATAATATTGGGGGCCAACATTCAGCTCACTATGTATTGTGATTAAAAGATATTAACATTTTTAAATGATCAAGAAAATTTGAATATGAACTGAGCACTAGATATTAGGAAATTCTTATAGTTAGGTATGAAAATGACAGGATTTTAAAATTATTCTTAACCAAATGTTCTTAAGTATTTAGACAGAATGATATACCGGTTTTGCTTTAAAATATTCCAAACCCTCTCCTCCTGTGAAGATCTGGGGTGTAGGCCAGGAGTGCAGCAAATGAGAGGCTTCACCAGACAGTGGGAAGAACAGGCAGATTGATTTATACTGCTGAAGGGAGCAGCAGGCGAGACAGGAGAGGCCTGATACATCATGTGTAGCTTCCTGGCTGGGGCTAGAACTCAAGCCATGGGAGTGATAATGCTGAGACTTAACCCCTAGGCCACCAGGGGCCCTATACATTAACTTTTTTTTTATATAAAGATTTATTTATACATACAGAACTGGGGTACAAGCCAGAGGTGCAGGGGCAGTGAGAGGATTGAGAGGCTGTCAGAAACAGAGTGGGGAGCATAACAGGCAGACTGAGGAAGTACACTGCTGAGGGGAGCAGCGGGCCGGTCAGGAGAGGTCTGCAGCGCCATGTGGTCACCTCCGGGGCCAGGATTCCAAGTCGCACCAAAGCGGCTGTGGTTAGCTTGCAGGGCCAGCTTTCAGTGCTGCATCCTTACCTGTTGTGCCACCAGGGAGGGTCCCCTATACACTAACTTTTAACTCAAATTTTAATCTTAAGAATTTCTCCTAAGAGAATAACCTAAATATTATGCAAGATACTATGTGCAAAAATAAACTATTACAGTCATATTCTGGAATGCTCTGCAGCAATCAAAATCACATGAAAATATGTTCAGGGGGCCCTCCCTGGTGGTGCAGTGGGTTTGCCCTGCACTGTGAAGCTAAGCCAAGTCGTGGCTGCTTCAGTGCAAGTTTGATCCCTGGCTGGGGAGGTGATCCACATGGCGCAGATCTCTCCTGTCTCACCCCCCTCCCTCCCCCCTCCCCTCAGCAGTGTACTTCAGTGGATCTGCCTACTCTGCTCCTTACTATCTCTCCCATCAATCCTCCTATCCCTTGCACCTCTGGTCTGTACCGCAGTTCTTGGATGCATAAATACATCTTAAAAAAAAAGTATTCTCTACTCTGAACATAACTGATGTAAGAAAAAATATGTGGAATTCAGATTTTATGATCACCACGTACCCTTAGAGGCTGTGCGTGTTGGGGTGTTGGGGCTTCCCCAGTGTGTTTGAAGCACATGCTCCAAGAATTCTGTTGCTCATTCCAGAGCTTTCTAAGTGTATTCCACAAAACAGCTCCACAGCTGTTGTACAATGTCCAAGTTGTCAGATATGCTAGGTTAATTTCCTATAATGTTCGTTATACATCCCAGGGGGAAGAGACATATGACACATTACTGAGCCATGGAACCTTTTGGCATCCTACACAGAAGTAAAAGGACTTCTACTTAATGTATTTTAAGAAATTCCAGTGTAAACCTATAAAACAAAGATTGTTTACATGACCTGTTTCCAATGATGAGCTGAACATTTCTAACCTGTTTCCCTAGCCTGAGACTGGCTCATCTCAAGGCAGCCCACATTTATCATATTTGTGTGCTCTTTATGATTTAGATTCTCTTAACACAAGGTGTATCTTGACAGATGATTCATAGCAGTGTTTTTCAAACAAATTTCAATTAGTGGATTGAGAAATCAACTTGATGGTCAGTTTTTAAAAATACAGTATTATCACAGTATAGTAAAAGTCATACCTGTAAATACTTTATGTCTGTATATAATCACACACACATACACACATATAAATGTGTGTGTGTGTGTATATATATATATATATATATATATATGATTGTGTGCACTGGTCACAATACATTTTACTATGAGTTGCAATCAACAAAATTGAAAGTCACTGAATAAAAGAGATGAATTTATTGGTAAGTAGATAAAATCAACATCTATTTCAACATACCCAAACCCTTCTCTGCATATATATAAATTAAAAGAAAAAAATTATCAATGCAATACAGCCAGCTAGATCCCCAACTTACAAACAAGTACCAAAAGTTTGTTTGAATAGGATGCTTTGAATTTTTCTCAAAGACGCTATTATAAAGAGATTAGATGCTTAATTAGTTCACAGAAGCCAATTTAGCTTAGATAAAGTATTGAAGTTATTACAAACTTGAATTTCTCTACCCTGTTTCTGTCTGAGGTTCCGATTATCTCCAAGAACATTCTCCTTGCACCCACACCTTGGTCCCAGCACCAAGCAACTCTTTCACAGTGCAACACACGCCCACCATTCAACATATTATTCCTCAAATTGTGCTTAGGATTTCAGAGGAAGAAAGTTCAGAAGCTCCAAAAACCTGAGGTAACTGAGGTAGAATGTGGGGCTCTCCAGAATATCTTCATGCCCCATGTTTGCTTTCCTCCTACCCACATCCCAGCTCAAACATGAGAAAGACACTTGCTCACCAACAATTGTTTTTCATCTTTATCACTCTTTAGGAGGTAATACTAAAAATAGGACAATGGTTCAGTGTGTCATTTTTCAGACCTCCAAATTACTGCAGTAAAAGAAAAAAAAATTTATATCTTTATGTCTATGTATATATGTGTACACATATGTATGTTTCACTGGCTTTAATGCAGATAACTGATAAAATCAAGAGCTGTTTTTTTATCACCTGACAGCTTTACTCATAAACTGTTTAGATACAAATACTCTAAATGAGTTCCTCTGCACCGATGAGATGTCATCAGTGCCATCTGTGGTAACTCGTATGAAATCAGGAACTCAGGGTAAAGTAGAACACCAGTACTAACTCTGTTCTACACAACTTCACCACGCCCCACAAGGTTATGAAGAGCCTGAGGAGTACATTCACATAAAGGTCAATAAAAGCTGCTCTAAAAAGCTCCTCAAACATTCGTGATACGATACAAATCCATACCCCCAGCATCGTTCACTTGGGAAGAATTACAAAAGGCATTCTTAACAGTATTCCCATCACATGGAGCAAATCTTACCCAAGGCACTAAATTCTCAGGTGAAGCCTAGTGTCAAGCGGGAAGCGGGTTTCTAGTATAGTCGGACTGGGTAACTCTTGCCTTTCTTGGCTGTGCCAGCTGCCAGATCTGAAGCTTCTGGCGCAGCTCCAGTAGCCCTGGGCTAGACCGGGCTACAGGGAGGGTTCTCTGTGCCGGCAGCGCTCAAGGTCTCAGCATCACCAGCTTGTTCTAGTTATCACACAGCCCTTCAGCTATCACGCTGTCTCAGCAGTTTCAGTCCACATCACAGGTCCCAGGTCCTATGAAGACTTTTACAGAGAAAACTGGCAGGAACAGGATGTCCCTTCAACTGGCCTTCTGCGCCCTCACAGAGCAGACAGGTTGAATTGCAGCAACACTTGCCAGTTGTTCTGGGCTTACCTCTTGCTGTTATGTACCAGGACAAATTTGGGAAGTTTAAGTAAGGAGGAGCGTTAGAAATCATTTCAGCATATACTTTTCAGGTTCTGCCAGACAACCTTTTATTACATTGGAAAAGCAACACTAGGCACTAGATCTTGCAAAATATGTTCTGACCAACTCTAAACTTTCTGAAATTAAAAATACATAACCACATCTGTAAGGTTTTTAATGAACAAAAAGTTAAATACAAACTTTCTTATGCAAAATAGATTATTGTATAACTGGCAACCTCAAAGCCAAGTACTAAATTTTCTTCCACAAATTTCAGAAGGGGTGAAATGGGAAGGATGTAAATCCTAATGAGTATAAAACTTAATTTTGGCTTTTATATATAGAAAAAAAAAAACTTTGAGGAAAAATAGCTTTAAATTGAAGAGTATCTTTTGAAATAAACATCTCAGGCCCATCTTTACAATCCTGCGCTTACACTTAACTAGATCTGGGATGTAAATGAAGATTTAGGGTTTATGGTTACTTCAAATCCAGTTTCAAGAGCAGCCAAGTCACCTCATTTCCAGAAAGGGAAGTCTCTTTAGGATGACCAGGACACTCTTCTGAAGATGCTCGGGTAGCCAGAATTCCCTGGGCCACAATTTCACTTTTCCACAACATGGCGCAAGGCGGTGGTGTCAGACTTCCTCGCATAGAAGGGCCGACGCCACCACCACTCCGCTGGATCTTCAAGCTTCCAGCTTCAGGTTGGCAGTTACTGCTCCAGCATCAGAGTTCATTAACACTTCCTTCCTCCCCCAACTGATTCCCTTCTTATCTTCAGCAGGGAGTGGTGCTTGATTAACATTCTTTTCAGAAATAAATAGTTCAAACAAGTCATTCAGAGCTAATTATAAAAGAGCAGCAGAGAATAGCCACTGCCCATTTCGTTTGCGAATGAGTGAGCATCGAATGAATACACGTGAACAAACACACAAAAAACAAATCACAGAATAAATCCTGCATTTCCCACATTCATAGGGAAAAAAATATTAATAAAAAAAAAGTATTAGAGTTTGTTCTTTTGTGGGCTTAACAGTCCAAGGCTCTGAGCAGGCACAGCCTTACAGACAGGGTTGCAAGCAGCCTCCCTGCACATCAAGTGCAGTGAGAGACCTTCATGCACTCAACAGCTCAGTACCTGTGAGAAAAAAGAGGTGATGCAGGGACTTCTGAACCCACAATGCATGAGGTATATGGAAATGTCTGTTCATGAAAGAACCACCAGCAGCTAGAGGGACCAGGCGGGGCATTCTCACAGCAACTGCTGGTGAAGGATTTCCCACACCATCTTCTTTCGGAAGAGAGGCATCTGGTGCTGCAAAGAATCCAGAGACACAGCATTCATTATACATTAGAGCAGAGCAGCACGACTTTCAGATATAATCGTGTAAATAAAGCAGGAAATGTCCATGTCTTCAAGAAAACGGCTTTTATAGCATGGTGCATATGTATAAAATCATAGAAAAGGTTTATGATTTTTACTATTATATGTATCATAAATATGTTTATGTGAAGGGAAATCAAAGTAGGATACAGAATTATAAAACAGGGTGCAACAACAACTTCATAACAAAATATGTACTGAAAATGGAAATGTCAAATGGTAGCAAAGTAGGTAACTTTCCTATGCATATGTAGTTTCAAACATTCTAAAATGAAGTCTGCTTTTAAAAAAATAATATAAAAGTTTATTTTTACATCATTTTGTACATTTTTTTTTCATCTCAATTGTAATCCCCGTGGTTGGCTTTTTTTATAAGAAAAAATGGATTTGATTTAAATAAAGAAATCCTTATTTTTGTTTTAAATATTGTATGTTGCCAGTTATGCTCAAGTAGCAACTTCTTCCCCTCAGATCTCACTGTTGGAACAGCCTAAGAATGCTGAGCTTCACAAGTTAGGGACCTGCGAACCCCAGCTTGCCGTGAGGGCCAAACTCCTGAGATCAGGTACCACCCAAGCTGGAGGGGCCAAAGCCTACCCAGCGCCATGGCCTGAACTCTGCCCTTCATGTCCTGGGCAAAGAGGATGCTGGGAAGGGGGTCAGAGTCAGTGGCCATCTTGCGAGGCTTTATTGCAAGAAAGAGCTATGCTAGTGGGACATAGGAGCCGATGGCAGCCACCCTCTGGCCAGATGGCAGTGGCCCTTCATACTGCACATCCATACTGTGGGGTAGGAGGTGGAGGGAACCCCCAAAATCTTGGCAGCAGTGCATCTTTGTACCACTCTACCAGCTCCTATAGCTGAAACGCCACTTAGAACTACCCACTGATACCTGGAACTTCTCTTCCTCCCTCTCCCTTGCTAGTTCTCCCTCTTCACCCACCCCACTGGTTAGAATAAATCACATTTTTCTCTTTGCTGCACCAGAAGTCCTGTTGTTTGCATTTGTGGTGGTGGGTGGCTGGAACCAGGGAGAGACGTGCTAACGCAGTGACATTTTTTAGACTCTTTGACTAGTAATGTCATTAGGTTTAGAGAACAAATAATTCCTATATAGAATGAGATGCTTTGCTTAATATATTATAACTATAGCTATATTATAACTATAACTAACACTTCATGGGCCAGCTTCCCCTGGAACTTAATTAGCCCTCCTTCTTTTTTATGAAATCACTTCATACCCTTGAGGCAGGCACTCTCTGGCCAGATGGCTGTGGGCCTCTTACTGTATAACCATAAGGTGGGGGAGGGAGGAGAGAACCACCCAAAATCTAAGCAGCAGCAGGCCCTCATCCCACTCTGATAGCTCCTGGTGTTTCATTATAGATATACCAATTTACTACCAACTAGTGACTTTCCTATATGGAGGGATGTAAAGTCTTAACACATGGATTTATAAGTGATTCTAAATAGTTGAAAATATAGTACAAAGTGCATTTATTCTTAGTAAAACTGCTGAACTTAGCTAGCAATAAATGCTTTTCAGGCTGTAAATGCATTAATTTGGCACGAGAGCCCTAGATACCTCACGTTGCTCAAAAGTTAGGAATGGGGTTTAGTCCTACTCCTCAGTAAGTTGCTAGGTAGACAACATCTATCAAAACGAGGTCTGTTAAATGAAAATCTATTTTAAAGGGTGTTGTTCTCAGTTGTAAAAAGGTTGAGCATTCACTATTACCAACAAATTCTCAAGAGTTCCCAACATAACTTGAATGCCCAGACTCGTGGAGAACTAAAAATAACCAGAACAGAAAGGAAAAGCAACATTCATAGTTATACCTTAGACTTTCAGTATAGGTTCAACTTTGGCTAAACAGATCAGTAGCACTCAGAAACCAGTGAACACTGGAGTTCAGGGATACAGAAACTGTCTCACTGGTCTCCAAAAACTAAGGGTAAACCTAAGAGCAGATACAATGACCATAATAAGACGCTGCCAAGATTTACAACAATAATAAGAGGATCACAAATACCATTAAGAGCTTCATGTGTGCCAGGCACTGCTAACCTGCTCTAAGTTTATCTTGTTTAGTAGCTAGCAGGTGGATGAGAGGGGGTCTTCACTCACCTGAGTAAATGTGATGGGTTTGTCCCTAGAGATATAATCTGCATATTTACAAGTAAACATTCCACAATCACTGCCATTCAACTGTTGAGGAATCTCCTAAAATTACAAAAAAAAAAAAAAAGAAGGGGGAGGAGGAGTATAAATTTCATCAAATGTAAGTTCCTCTGACTGTGGATGAACATTATTATAAAGACAGAAGTTAAGGGCTTCCCTGGTGGTTGAAGGGTTAAGTCTCATTGCTATCGATCCCCCGCCAGAGAGGTGACCACCATAGCATGGCAGAACCTCCTGGCCTACCCAATGCTCCCCTCCCAGTATCTTTCAACAGATCTGCCTGTTCTGTTCCTACTCTGTCTCTGGGAATCCTCTTATCCCACATATCTGTTATTCTATGCAACAAATCAATTAACTAAAAAATGATAAAAGTTAGGTCTGGTATTATACACACACACACACACACACACACACACACACACATGAATACAATGAGTCTTTATGTGGTATAAAAACCTGAACACAAATAAAAAATACAATAAAAACCTCAACACTGGTGTATGTGACTTCAGAGAAAATGTTTTTCAGTAGGAAAAAGAAAATTAGAGTTCTATATCTCAGCTCTAAGATGCCCAACTGAAAGGTTTAGTACCAATGTTAGAAAGAAACAGACCCAAAGCTAATTTTAAACCAATTAATCTGGAATTCCAGGTCAACATCAGGTGAGATAATGTGCAAAAGACCTCCCTGCTTACCGCTGGAAGCAAGAGAAGGCAGCTTAGCTCGAAATAATTTTCATTTTCTTTTGCTAATATGTCTGGCCCACCCTCTTTCTGACTATAAAACTTTCTACTTTAGATAACCTATTGCAGGGCCTTTCTACTTGCTAGATGGTATGCTTCCCTATCTCATGGTCTGGAATAAAGACAATTAAATCCTAAATTTATTAGATGAATTTTGTCTCTCTTTTTTTTAAACAAGTAACTTTTCAAAAACAAAATTTTTTTAAAGATTTATTTATTTATTCATACAGAACTGGGGTACAGGCGAGTTGCAGGGGCAGTGAGAGGATTCACCAGAGACAGAGTGGGGAGCAGAACAGGCAGATCAACAAAGTACACTGCTGAGGGGAGCAGCGGGCGGGTCAGGAGAGGTCTGCCACGCCACGTAGTCACCTCCGGGGCAGGCGGGGGTCGAACTCATGCAGAAGCGGCTTTAGATTCTCAGTGCTGTGCTTTAACCCACTGCGCCACCAGGGAGGGCCTTGTCTCTCTTTTTTTTTTTTTAAAGATTTATTTATTTGTGCATACAGAACTGGGGTACAGGCCAGAGGCTCAGGGGCGGTGAGAGGCTTCACCAGAGACAGAGTGGGGAGCAGAACAGGCAGATCTATGAAGTACACTGCTGAGGGGAGCAGCGGGCGGGCCAGGAGAAGTCTGCCTCACCATGTGGATCTCCTCCGGGGCAGACGGGAATCGAACTCATGCAGAAGCGGCTTTAGATTCTCAGTGCTGTGCTTTAACCCACTGCGCCACCAGGGAGGGCCTGTCTCTCTTTCTTAACATCAGGAACAGGAATTCTAGTCAGAATTATTTCAGAAACATTTACAAATTTTGGAAAAGAGCTAAACGTGGCTCTATTAGAAATGTTTGCACTACAACTAGTCTAACTCAATATTGCAGAGTTTAACTTCACTTCCCTAGTCAGAAAAGCAAGTCTAAGTAGGAGGGGGGGACTGCAGTCACAAGAACATATTGAGAGAGAGAGAGAAAGAGAGAGAGAAAGAGGATAGAGATCACATTTTTACAATTTACTGTTACAAGTGTTCCATTAGTTAGTTAATCTCTTACTATGCTTTATTTACAAATTAAACTTTATCGTCTATACATCTATTTAGGAAAATACACAGTCTATAGAGGGTTCAGTACTGTTCATGTTTTAGGTATACACTGGGAATATTGCACCATTATCTCTTGTAGAGAAGGGGTACATTACTGATTTGTACCCCCACAGATGCCAGCAGTAAAAAGAAAAGTCTCTTGATAAGCTTAAACCAATTGGGACCTTGCCTTGATTACTCAATTCTGGCTGGAGGCAAAAAAAGGCTTCCTGGAAGCAGCACTAGGGGCATCAAAAGCCTAAGGCAGTGGATTCCAAACTCTTCTGAGTTAGGCTCACAGGATACCCCAGCACCAGATCATAAGAGTCTGATTCCACTGCTAGAAATCATGTGAACACACTGTGAATGGGTTTGCCACCTCCCACCCCAAGCAGGCAAGAGAGCGAAGCCATCTGCATGGGGTTAAAGTCAGAATAGGTTCTGGCCTGCTCCATGAAGCAGCTAAGTAGGAATCCAAAACCAGTGGGTAAACCAACCTGTCATCACCACCCCCCCCCCCAACTAAGTTATTGAGGAAATCAAAAGAGCTATACCTAGAATTGAAAACCAAAGCCTCCTCTCCAAAATAATCACATTCTTGGCATCAGTGAGCCAATGTTCATATTACTTCTACACTCATGCTACTCTGTTCAAGTATGTGGAATCACACTCTCAGCCTTTATGTCTCATCTAAATTGTAGATGTTAACTGCATGCTAGTATTTGTAACAAGCTATATACAATGAACTCAAACTTGTCCTTGTTAGAACAGCTCTCAAAGTAAAATTTGTTGGAATGCTTGGCTCAAATCCACTTTATCTAATAAACTCTTCGTCTAGCTGTCATTGAGATTTTTACTTCAGTTGACACAAACTAGATGATGATTACTCAATTTTTATTCAAAGAAAAACAGAAGGCTATTGTAACAAAGAGGGGACTGTTTGAACATGCACACCATGAGGTAGGTACCTCATGCTTTTCTCCTGGCCCATTATATCTGTCATGGAAGAGAGAACTATAGACTCCACTACACAAAAGAGAACTGACTTTCTTTAAGATTCAAAGTATGGAACCCTTAAGACAAAACAAAATTCCCAGTTAAATTTTGAACAAAACTTTAAAATTTTTATTTGCACCAAATAAATAGCTAACTTAGTTTTGGGTCACCCCTAATTTTCTGAGATACATGCTAGCATCCAGTTTACATCTACAAATTAGGTGAAACATAAAGGCTGAGAGTCTGATACCACTGCTAGAAAATATACGTGAACATACTGTGCACAGTTTCACTTGTTAAGTGTCTTTCTAAAGATTAAGAAATAGATCAGGGCCCTCCCTGGTGGTGCAGCGGGTTAAAGCAGAGCACTAAGAAGCTAAAGCCACTTCCGCATGAGTTCGATTCCCGCCTGCCCCGGAGGCGACCACATGGCGTGGCAGACCTCTCCTGACACGCCTGGGGCTCCCCTCAGCAGTGTACTTCGTCGATCTGCCTGTTCTGCTCCCCACTCTGTCTCTGGTGAATCCTCTCACCCTCCGCATCTCTGGTCTGTACCCCAGTTCTATATGAATAAATAAATAAATCTTTAAAAAAAAAAAAAAAAGAAATAGATCATTCACGAGGTGTGTACTTTAGGAGAAAGCATGCCTTAAAGTGTGAGTGAGTGAAGGGCGGAAGGAAGCCAGTTTAAAGCATATGGCACCGGCAGTAAATGCAACAAAATATTTCAGATATAGAGGATCATCACTTACATGTGGCTTCATGCTGTAATGGGTCCACTCGAGAAGATTCAGATCAATATTTCTTTTGGTCTTACTTTCATCCTGTAAATACTGACTGGAAAAAAAGCAAAAAAGAAAGGATGTATTGATGAATACCTATAGATAGTGACCATTATGATTACCAAGAACTTTTTGATGTTTTAACAGATGTGCTATTCTCAAATCTATCTCCATTTGCTTCTTTAAAATGTGATTGCTTTGGTTTTAATTTTTGAGTTATCTGCTTATAAAAGTTGTACACGGTTACTATTCTAAAAATATGCAAAAGACTAAATAACCATTCTGAAGTAATTATTATGTTATATATTGTTCTAGTTGTCTCCTTCATCCTTATATACACAATTTAAAAACATACAAAAGTACTTCACTTTAAAGCTTTCTTTTCCCCACTTAAAAATAGATTATAGGCCCTCCCTGGTGGCGCAGCGGGTTAAAGCACTGCACTGAGAATCTAAAAGCCGCTTCCGCATGAGTTCGATTCCCGCCTGCCCCGGAGGT